TTTATTTCATCACAGATCTTCATGTTCGCGGTTATATTTGTGTGCTGAGCCCCTACTAGTCGACTGCTTGTATTTCTGAATCTCCTATCAAGACAGTTCTTCTTTTGCGAAGTACTTTACCTAATCCTTTGGCTCACACGTTGCGTGCTACTCAATTTATCATGTCACCGAGTATGGCTTCGCTGTCGTCACCTATTTTCGGCTAAACAACAGTAACTCCATGTAACAGTAAACAGCTGCGTTTGAAAGCGCATTGCATTCTCAGAATAAGGCGGATGTATACAAGCGTCAGTGGTGTCTGGTTGGTATACACCTGGCACGAGCCAATTGCAGGCGTTTTTGACAGCTCAGAAAATTGGCAGTGGTACTCCCCAATGCCAATCATCTGACTCTCTTAATCAGATAAAAAATTTCTATTTTTCAAGATCTTATGTAGGTTCCTAATTACTGTCTTTTGCCATCTCGCTGAAGGTGCAGGCTAGTCTGCCTCACCCTAGCAATGTTTGTTACTAACACTAGTTTCGGCACACGTTCAGATGTATCAGATAAAGTTAAAGATAGCGTTGGAGGCTGAATACAGTCAGAAGCAACTGAATTAAACAAAAATGATGTTTTACTTTTTATTACTTTCTTCTTATATTGTCTGAGTGTATATCAAACGACATTTGACAATGACCTATACGTACAAATATTATGATGAGACTTTGGCTTTGGTGCAGTCCAAACACAATCGCTATTTCTAGGTCGAAAGCTCCAGAGAAGCTTGAAGAACACTTTTTTTCTCAATGCATAGAGCATATTCGGAAGCTCTAGAATCTGCGCAGATCTTTATGTACTCATCGCCAATTCCTCCAAAGTCAGGAATAAGTTTCATTTAGACAACCTGGGTGGCCAATACTTACATTACGTATAAGACAACAACACAGCTTTTATTTGGTTTTGTCGGTCTTACAACGTCTACGATTTTTCTGTGGTCTGCAGTGATGTTATTCGTAAAAACCATTTGCGTACGCAGCATATTTCTTGACTGGTACATCCCTTCGTGAATACATCTGCCCATCTCGTTGCTCTCTTTCTCAGCATTCTTGATTTCAATCACTCTGATGTCTCTAATGTAAATTGGCTAAAAATATTGATTAAATTATCTCTGCAGATCGAAAGTTTAAATGAGAATCAATGAGAATTCAATCCCAAAATAAATCTTCATTGCAGACAGTTGCCTTTAGGATCATAGCTAAAAATCAGACATCTTTTGCATGCACGAGTATATCAGATTCATGTGCAATACTGCCAATATGCTTGCTGAGATACTACAGGGAGCTGTTGTAGTGTGCACTTTTATATCTATCAATAACGTCATTGTGACTAAGTCTGTTTCTTTGAACCAACTATCAGTTCTTTCCACCGCCAGAAATCACTCATTGATCAAAAAGATCATCCTTGCCTCTTACTCATTCCTATCAAATATTAGGTTGGTTCATAATTAATGCACGTTTTGAATTTCAACCGCAATAAGTCATACACTTTTTATCCTTATATAGGCTTCAAAGTACCATTGGATAGAGCAAAGCAAGCTCTACAAGATGGCACTCATGTCTTTGCGCCGTGCTCGATCCACGGAGAGTTCGAACTCAAAATCTAAAGATTTCCAAATGCCCAGAAAATCGAAAAAAATCAGATCTTCGTCCAAATAATTTCTACGGACCTCCCACTCGCTCACATCAATACTATCGATATCTGATATCCATATGTGCGATTGCCGTATTTTTCCCTTGGCTACAAATTGAGATAACGAAAAATTCCCTGATTTTCTCAAAGCAAAGCTGAGCCGTATTTGCGTATGTAGTTCTATACTACAAGCCTAGGTAAGTATAACTGTAGATTTTCAGCCCTTCCAAGCGGTAGTTTTCGAAAAATAACGAATTCGGATTTTTTCGTTTCAGTTTCAGTGCTAAAATCGACAATTCTCGAAAAGTACCGTTCGAAATAGGCTGAAAACCTACAGTTATGCTTACCTAGGCTTGTAGTATAGAAGTACATATGCAAGAACGGCTCAGCATTGCTTTGAGAAAATCAGGGAAATTTTCGTTTTCTCAATTTCTAGTCAAGGAAAAAATACGGCAATCGCACATATGGATATCAGATATCGATAGTATTGATGTGAGCGAGTGGGAGGTCCGTAGTTATTTGGAAATCTGATTTTTTTTCGATTTCTTGGGCATTTGGAAATCTTTAGATTTTGAGTTCGAACTCTCCGTGGATCGAGCATGGCGCAAAGACATGAGTGTCATCTTGTAGAGCTTGCTTTGCTCTATCCAATGGTACTTTGAAGCCTATATAAGAATGAAAAGTGTATGACTTATTGCGGTTGAAATTGAAAACGTGCATTAATTATGAACCAACCTAATATAATCACGTGATCATGGAATTCTTTGATAATGGCAAAGAATTTTTTTAGCAGAAGTCTCTTATTATCAGAACTTGTTTCAATAATGCTTCTTGCTGCATAATCATAGATATCTGAATCAGTAATCTCTCTTGTAGACTAAGGCCACGTTCTTAATGACCCCAGTGTGCAGTTTCCACAATGAGCTGGAACCTGTGCCGTGACTGCGCCTGAGCTCCGCTGCATGCTATAATTTGAAGAAGAAAGTATAAGTACATGTGCTGTTTTCTATCATTTCTATTTGTTGGAGACATGTTTCGTACGCGTCTTCGCTTCCCTCCTTCAGTTTCGTTGAAACCTATGCTACGGGAAGGCACGTTGCGTAGTTCTATTATAACAGCCATCTGTTTTGGATGGCGTGTAGGAAAACAGCTTTCACGGATATATGGAACAAAAAAGTTGATTCTTCAATCCTACTCAAGCTTGAAGCACTGTTTCTATCACAGGGGGAAGTGGTGTGGAAGGATAAGGTGATATGAATTAAATGTAAAGGTGTAGCAGTAAAAACTGTCAGGACTAGTACGAATGGAGCCTTAGTCAAACTTTCTTTGAATTTTACGCGACTTTTAAAAACAGTTTTTTGCATTTATAATGCTTTATAATAGAGGAAAAACTTAATAGCTCCATTGCTGTGCACTTGATTCGTTGCTCTGTATGATTGGCCATGATGGTTAGTTTGGAAAATTCTACGCTATCATTTAGCTTTTCGACTTTGCTCTGCCTTCGACTGCAAACTTATTCGCTGAAGATTATGCTGTACTGGAAGTTGTACTTTGCAACTGAAGAATTTCACTTATTTTGTGTCCATGTTGCATACTCTTTTATCATTGAATAATTGACAGATGCTCGCATGTAATTGTGGTGGGCTGATTTCCCTCGAATAAGGTGACAACGCAATCTATGGCTGTCTATGTCAATCCGTTACAATACGGCGGCGTGGCGTTATGGAGCAAAGCTACGCCGTATTCGCTTGCGGTATATCCTGAGGGCCCTTTGCGTTGTGTCGCTCCTAATTGCACCCGCAGAGGAGCTAGCGTTACCCAAGGGATCGAGTCATTCGCGAAATTCTTCTTCTGTAAAGAGACCAGAATGCGGAAGTTAAACGAATTTTGAGGGTGAAAAAATAGATTCTGAGGAAGAAATGTTTGAAGTAAAGGCTTGGAAAGTCAGTAATAAAATTTTCTGTCCCTTTTCTCTACTAATTCTCTTGTTACACTTGAAATCCGTCTTTCATTCTCATCGAGATTCAGCCTTTGCATCCGTAAAATCCATCTATTTTTCGATTTTAAATATCTTTATTGCATTCATGCAGTTTGCACATCTTCTCAAGACGCAGCAATAAGAAATGGCTCAGTTCGTTGTCAGGAGCGGTGTACTCCTGCGACTGCAATTAAAGGCGACGCAACGCAACTGGCCCTCAGGATATACCGCAGGGGAATGCGGCGCTGCTTTGCTCCATAACGCCTGCCCCCTTACAATACAGTATCCACTTTGCTTTTTGATCGGACTAGCACTAGTTTGTAAAATGCATAAAGTATTACAGCATATTTCTTTTGATATACGCCGGTGTATATGTATAACAATCATGACAAAGAACAAATTAGATCAAACCCTTCATGAATGACAGCTCGGGCCGCTATCGCCGGTTTATAACCAGCGATAGCTCCAAATTGATGCTACTCTTTTTTTTAATGGCTGTGATGATTTGAACTACTTAAGTACGATGGGCACAGCATTCTTGCCGTTATGGTGTCAGCTGACATCCTTTGCTGTTGACCCTTTCTTTTGGCATAGATTAAACTGGCTTAGAAAGAAAATCATAGCTGGATCGTCAGACTCTGTGTATTTTTATGAATGCATTTTTTATGCATTATTTTTGAATGACAAAGATGCTCAAAAGTAGGCTGTTGGATGTTTGGTGTTCCGGCGCTTGACGGTGACTTAATACTTGTACTAAAACATAACCATCTAACACTTTTACTTAGAGTTTGGTAATCAATTTTGGATATTTATCACCTTTGCTCACTGAAGGTAAAGGTAAGATCTTTTATATTCAAGATTACGCATGGATGAAGTCATAATTTTTTTAAACATCTCAGCAGTGTGCATTGAGATCTGCAATAGTACTAAAAGGAAAAAACTTGCAGATTGATAGTGCTCGTAAACTTATCAGTCTAGCTGTTTCCAAAAACGCAGTTTGTGAAGCGCGAAATTGATGAAATAAAATCAGATTTTGGGTTTTCCAGACATATTTTTTCGCTCCGAGCTTCACTGGTCGCTTTCGGAATTCCTGCCATTGTAACGCAAAGATTTCCAGCGGTTTCTCGGTTTAGCACTATAACAAATCGTTTTTTCCATCAGTTTGCAGCATTACCTCCTCTGCGAACACGCAGTGTTACTAGTACAGTACAAGAATTCGCCCTGCTCTCATTGAAATCTCTGTAAAATTAAACGTTTAGCAGAGGCATCGAACGCGCCTTATAAGCATGTTTCCCACCAATTTCCCAGCAATCATTTTGAATTTGTTTATATTCTTTTCACTTATGTGTTTTCAGGTGAATTAACTAGATGGTCCGCACAAAAGAATACAAGAGTGAAACACCTTCTACAAGTTACGAACCCTCAATGTCAGATAATACTTCTATTACCAAAAAATATACTTCAGAATTCAAGGTTTGTTCTCAATAGCTGAACCTAAGAAATACGTTCCAACGTGAGCACCTTGTAACCGAGTCTGAATTTATGTAGCTAGGAAGTTCAAGTTAGCTGCTTCATTCTTAATTATCAGAAAATTCTTTTCAGGATCCCAGAAAAATATTGAGTGTTTCTATATTATTTTGCGTAAACCTTCTCAATTATATGGACAGGTACACTATAGCAGGTCGAGATTTATGAACGTTCACTGACGAAAGCTTACTGTAGACGAATTCGTACTTCAGGTGTACTGACCAACATACAGTCTTTCTATCACATTAATGACGCTCAGGGAGGCCTATTACAAACGGTCTTCATAATCTTTTTCATGCTTTGCTCACCACTGGTAGGTTATTTAGGTGATAGGTGCGTAAACTTTTTTGTGGGGTGTTCATGTCAACATGTTGTGCTGCTTCAGGTATAGTCGGAAGAATATAATGTTAGCCGGTATTTCGGTATGGGTAGGCGCAGTAGTAGCATCGACGTTTGTTCCAGAAGATGTAAGCCTTTTTTTAAGACCGTTACTTCTGACGAAAGCCACATTCTTTTGAAGAAATTCTGGCTGTTTCTTGTTTTTCGAGGAATAGTAGGAGTCGGCGAAGCTTCATATGCAATTGTCTCCCCGTCATTGATAGCCGATATGTTTACTAGCCAGAATAGAAGCAAAATGCTAATGGTGTTCTATTTCGCCATACCTTGTGGCAGGTACGTAAGAATTCAGTCGAAGCAAAACTGTGCAAAACTTCTGTAGAAGATATATATACAGGGTGTCCCAGAAAAATGTGAACATTGTTTGATTGTTGATAACTCCCTTGCTTTCGAGTCTTCCGCCGAGCATGAGGCACCATTCTGAAGTGCGAGGTTTAACTCAGATCTACGTATAGAGCGAATCGTCGATCACTCTCCACTGCTGTAGGATTACGGTAGGAACTCCGACAAGGATTTTAGGCCGTTGGAGGTCATATTCTGCCTCGGAACAAAACCAAACAAGCCGAAAACTCTTATATCATGGTAATGGAAGCCGCTGAGTTCGAATATGAAATTTCCACTTTACTGTGATGCTTCTTTCCAAGGGTTATCCCAGCTAAACCGTAATAATGAATTTTCAGCATTTGTCAGAAATGTGACTACACCGTCAAAAAAACTAAAAACACTCGTAGAAAGTTGTCTAATGGAATCAGCGTGCGCGAAAACCCTAGGACACGATTTTTTAGACTCTTTGAAAAAATTTTGTTAAATGGCGTATCTTACATTAGATCCACATACTGGAAGTTCATACCGTAATCCTACAGTAATGAACAGCGATCGGTGATTCAGTCCATACTACAAATCTAAGTTGAACCTCGCTCTACAAAATGGTGCCTCAAGCTCGGTGAAAGACTTGAAAGCAACGGACTTATTAACGATCAAACAGTGTTCACATCTTTTTGGGACACTCTGTATGTATATATATAAGAAAGTATGAGAGTTATTGAGGAGCACATGTGTTTGATTAGCTTTCGTAGAATCAATCAAAATTTTCTTTTTGAAGTGGTCTGGGCTTCATTGTTGGCTCATCCGTGACAGCTCTCACTGGTCAATGGGGATGGGGAGTGCGTGTTACGGCTGTTATTGGTATGTTCTCATTTACGTGAGTGATGAAAAAACAAGTATTGAATTGTGGGTAATCCGGTATAAGCACAGATTAGAACAAGACCGTAATGTAAATTGTTCCAGTGCTTCACATTTCGCATTTGTCAGAATGTGACATAGTATTGAGTGATTCCACGACTTTCTCAGCGTCTCTAGGCAACAACTCACACGACAGAGGTCGACTTGGCCAATCCAAACAAGCTCATAAAACTGATTGTAGCATAGAACGCTGACTCCAAATCTGTCTTTGTAATAAGTTGAACGCCTTCGTAGACGAAGGTATGAGCAGTTTCAATGCGAAAAAATTGCAAATATATATATTAGAAAACTTAGTATGTTGTTGCCTTTTTAGCTTACCTATAAATGTGGGAAGTGCAAACTAACTTAACTGCATATTTTGGCCCACCACTGAGCAAAACATTGCCCTGTTGCCCGCACTTGCATGCGCGATTTCTTTGCGGCTTTCAGTCTTGCGGTTTGAGCTTTTCACTTGGCTGCCAAGGTGCGTCTAATCCCACAAGCTACTTATCCACTGTCAAATACATCTACAAGGCAAGACATCGTGGCTAGAAGAAGATACTACTACGTCGAGGAAAGTTAAAGCAGTACGAGCAGCTTTGTACTGTGCAGGCGCCTATAAGGTCAAATATTAGGTTGTAACAGAATCAATGCAGGTTTTCACACCTGTTTTTCAAAGTGTTAGTTCAAAACAAAATTCCATTGTCTTAGGAGACTATGCATAATTGTGCAAGCAGTCTTTTTCTAAATATCGGCATTGTTCGGTTGTGCTTGAATCTTGGCACGATAATCACTTGAAGATGTAGTTTCGAGCTACTACCAAGATTGGTAACAATACTTTATTGGCTGACGTCGACGTTTCTTCCTTCAACGCCTTCTTTGGAGTCTGAAAGGTCGAAGTCATAAGTGACTATGCGGTCAGACGTCAAGAACAAAGACGAAACAAAATCGAAAAGAAGATTAGTCTAGAGAGCAGAATCAGAGCCAAAAACACTTTTTACTCACCTCAGACGTAGCACAAGCGGTAGTTGAAAAACAGACCACCTTATGCCAAACTGTGCCTCAACGCCACTTTTATACGCTACGTGTTTGGCTCTGATTCTGCTCTCCTTGCTTGTATCGCTCTACATGGGAGCACTTTGCAAGGAAAACGCTTTTTCCTTATTTAATTCGTACAGCAGTTAACAAAACAATTTTGAGAATATCCGTCCAGAAAGTATGGTTGATATGTCTTGTACATTCGTAATCGACAAGTATCCTTGTAAGATGTGACCACGTAGTTGACTATTTGATTGTTCAATAAATGGTGCTTGCTCTAAGGAGGTAAGGAAAGTCGATCCGGCCCCGCTTTAACAAGACATATACGGTTTGTCTCTTTTTATAACGCAAAGCTCCGATCTGCATCCAGTGTCTGCTGAGCAATCTTTTGAGGTTATTTTTTGACTGCAGGCCGCCTGCTGAGATCATATAGAAAACAAGAAGCCGCAATCGAGGTATGGTTCGTAAAATGGTAAGGGTACGCTTTCTAGGCGAAAGGTCTGTAAATCCTGTTGCGAGATTCCTCTTGCGGTATGATAAATACGGTCACTAGGCTTTCAAAAGAACGTTCAGGTAGCGACTTCGAATGTGAACTCAGCTTTTCAGACGGAGGTGATCCATATATACTTTGTTACAACCGGGTGGGTAGACTAGTATCTTTCCCCTCCAAGTAGCAAGCATGAAGGTTTATCATTTTTGAGTACCATAAGCAATGCAATCACTTGGCGGCATTCACCAAAGTAAAGCGTTGCAGCTATTCAAAAGTGGCATCTTAGCTGCTCGTAGATCCGGATCGATCAAATCATTGGCTTTTGGGCTCGCTCACATGTGAATTTTATCAAATTTGAGCTGTAGCCGAAAATTTGGAAAAAAGTAGATTCAAAATAAAGGCAAGTGATCAGAATTTATGCATGCCATTGAAATAGAAGTAAAGTTCCGTCATAACTTGAAGCGCGTTTGAGAATTGACATTGTCGGGATGATGTGATATATTGTAGCACGCGCTAACTATATTCTCAGAATCATCCAACGCTAGAAAGAAACAATGACGTTTTGCAGGAGTGGTATGCCTTGCGATGATTGTGCTGTTCATTCGCGAGCCACAGCGAGGAGCAGCCGAACGCGAAAAAGGTGAAATCGTAGTGGAGGTTGTCACTACAAACTATTGGGAAGATATCAAAGCTTTGTTGGCAAAGTAAGCAATTGATATTGTTTATAACTAACAACAAATTCAGCTCAATTTAGCCTTACCTACATATTCGGTACCATTGCTTATACCGCAATCGTCTTCGTCGTGGGAACACTGACATTCTGGGGGCCAACTGCAGTACAGCACAGTGAAGCAGATAGACTGGGATTCAATTCTACCACTTTGTTAGATCCAAAGGAAAAAGTCCAGTTAGTTGAATCTCTCACAAAATAGCATCAGTCTCTCTACGGTCATAACTGATAGAGGTTAAAAGCATGAATCAAACAAAGTCAAGCTAATTCTAAATTTACAATCTCAATCAATGTACAATCTCAGAATTAACTTCAACTTTGGTCTCGTCACTTTCATTGGAGGAGTTTTCGGGGTGTCTTTTGGCTCAGCACTGTCGATGGTAAAAACTTAGACCTATAATTTTACTTTATTTAAATAGAGATATATGCTTCAGATGCTTCGAACCGGCTGGGGTCCGTTCAGATGTGTAAAAACGATCAGATCAGATCCAATAGTTTGTGGACTTGGCGCACTATTGAGCATTCCATGTCTATATCTTGCGATCCACTTTATAAGAAAAAACGTGACAGTGTGTTATGTAAGTTTCATGGTTTTTTAGGCCCACAAGCACAGTAGACCGGTTTTTTGCTGAAAAAAAAATGATGTCATATGCCAAATCATAGCTCGCATTACGTAGCTAATTGGTTCGGATATTCCCATGACTAGGAAGGTTCCCAAAAATCATTAAATCGACAAGAAAAACGTGAAGATCTCGTTATCCGGACCCATTTTTTCAAAAGACTTTCATACTATACGTTCTCTAGTCCAAGAATAATTATTCATAGATTCTACGAGGACTGCCTCCTTGCCACGTGTCACGAAAAAATTGACAAGTTTTGGTCCATTTTGACATGTTTTTTCGAAATCATTTCCAGTGAGATAAAAGAGAATTTGTGGTCACTTCAAAGCTGTTTAAGTGTTTTACATAAGCAAAACAATCACAAATCTATTCTAGAATATCTTTCTTGCTTTTAGCAGTGATTCAAGAATTATTTCTCTTAAAACCCTTTTCGCCATGCGAATTTAGCCGAAAACACTGTAAATGATAGTTTGAAGTACCTTGCTGCTGCTCATTTCGTCTTTTAAATGACGGAAACCTAGCGCATTTCTCTACCCTCAGCAAGTCTAATCTGTTCATCGATGATAGTATGTCGTTATTATCATGACAAGGTTCACTTTGAAACGTTTGAACGAAATGAGCTCAAATTATCTAAAAAAACTGATTGAACTTACATCGCAAGATAGGGTAACACAAACTCTTGGTAAAACCTGTTAAACATGTATTAGGTCGTCCCGAAAGTATTTTCGCTTTTTTCAAAGAGTCGCCACGGTCCGCAGAACAAACATCCCTAGAAGATCTTGGAATCATTCGATGCAGTTTCTTATGCTCTTTCAAATGGTCATCTTTGCATTGCAGTTTAACAAATGAGCTCTTAGAAAATAACAAAAAACTGCGATCCACGCTTTTTACCAAGGTCAAGTTTCGCCATTTTTCTAAATTCTCGTACTGATTCTCCGAAGAAGCCCAAGTACCCTGCGGATAGAGCAAACCAAGTAGGATACAAAACAATTTTCGCCCCTTCCAAATCTTACTTTACAAAATTTTTAGAAATATTTTTTTGATGCTATCAAATTCTATATTTCGTCAACTTGAACCTCATAGAGCATCACTCGGAAAGCAACTTGAGTGTTATTCGATGCAGCACCTTCTCCTCTTTCGGAGACATGTTTTTTGCTTCTGATTCGTAAACTTTTAGAGGACAAAATCGACAAAATTCATGTTTTTGATGGCGCCCCAAGATGTACCGAAAAATTCAAAATCTGATATTGCGAACCTGGAAACGCTTATTTGTCTTGTAAAATTAGTAATGAATCTTAATCTATCTTTAAGAGAATCAAAAACTGAGAATTTCTTAGAGTTTGACGAGTCTTCGTCTGGTATGGGTCTGCTAAAATTCGATAGTGTTGTTTAAATTTGTCAAAAAATTATGGATAGCTCTGGGAAGGAGAAAGAAATTGTTTTGTATCCTACTTGGTTTGCTCTATCCGCAGATTACTTGGGCTTCTTCGGAGAATCAGTACAAGAATTTAGAAAAATAGCGAAACTTGGCCTTGGTAAAAAGCGTGGGTCGCAGTTTTTGGTTATTTTCTAAGAGCTCATGCTAAACTGCAATGCAAAAATGGCCATTTGAAAGAGCATAAAAAACTGCGTCGTATGCTTCCAAGATCTTCTAAAGAAGTCTGTTCTGCGGACCGTGGCGGTTGTTTGAAAAAAGCGAAAATACTTTCGGGACGACCTAATAGATGACATGTCAAGTTTTTTTTAACACGTGGCAGAAAGTTCCTGTTCCTCCTTCCTGCGAAGCTGGAACAAAATACGGTATAAGGATAGAAGCAATATCTTTCTTTGAAAAAATGGGTCCGGATAACGGAAAAGTACCAAAAATCGAACTGAAATGTCGACAGCGTTGTTCGCAATTTTAGTCCATGTAGGCTGCGACATCCTCCACGACTTCATGGATCAAGGCATTTTACTCTCACAGGAAGACGCACAAAGTTTTCTTATGTACACATGTTCACCAACGGTTGTACTGGAACCTTGATTTTCCTTACAAATCGAAATCTTTTTCTGAAAAACTGTCAATAATCAGCAATATAAACGCTTTTTAGACCTTAGCATGTTATCTCACAGCCCTTGAAGATCCTCTGCTAAATCCTTCGACTGGCTCTTTAGAGAAGTTAGGCGGACTTTTTTGAAGGCCATCCGAATTTGACTGCTGTACCAGGAAGTGCGTAGACGTGTTACATATCATTTGAAAAGGGCTTTACAAGCTTTTTCTAATAATGACTCACATGCATATAATTTTCCTTTATTTTGTATATGTGACGCAGTTTCTTCGGAGGGCGATATTAGGCGCAGATTCCAGTTAGAAATCAAGGTTTGCTTAGCAATTTTTTGAAAATGGAAGAAGTTGAGGTACAATGCATCCGCATGGTTAAGGCGAAAGAAGCTCTATTAGGCACTCTCCTTCAAAGGTTAGCTTATTCGATTACTTGACAAGAGAATAAATAAGATGCTCCCTAGTACTCAACGCTATATCTTCTGTAGCAAAGCACTGGGACATTGTCCGTTTGGTTAACATTTCTCTCACATATTGCGGCACAAATATTTTTGGTAGACTCAATTGTTTAGCTGCGGCGGTGCTGCTAAAAGTTTGAAGTTGCTTAATGTGACGAGCTTTGATTCCGGACACTTATCAAAATAACGCCATGCCACAGTGCCCGTCCATAGTTTGTGTCCAGAAGTTTTGATATGTACTGGCATCTATCAAAAATTGGGCACCAATCATAGTTTTCTGCTCAGAAAACTGCCCCATCGCTCTAAGTGCCCCATTACTTTTGCATCAGTCTAGTATTTTACAATAGACTGCATTGCCAACTCTCCGAAGTGCCGGGTGCTGACAAGGAAATGGTGAGAGGTCGAAGTGGCCAATCTAAACGAACCGCACATCATTGGTTACAGCATCGTACACTGACCCCAAATTTACCTGCTTATCACTTTTGGGAACGAAGCTACAATAGTTTTATTGCAAGAAAATTGTACTTAAATAGCAAAATGTGACTTAATGCCGTTTCACACAGTCAGACATGCATGAATCAGCGCTCCATAAAGTAACCTATCTATATGTTTTAACCTAGATTGAGTTAGACATGATTTGTATGTCCAACTGCGCATTCTGCATACACATTTCTGTGCATACAATGGCTTATAACTTCGTCTGCAGGGGCGTTTTTAGCAGAGCGAAAAGTAGATTTGGAATCATCCAATGGTATGCATTGGATGCAGCATAGAGAGCGTACTTCAAATCTATCAATCCAATGCACTATTGAATTCGTCACCTTGACTTCTGACCGTCCCCTTGTAAGTAGAAAGTCATCATTGTGATAACTCACTGCAGTTTTTTAATCGTTCGTGGCAATGCATCGATCATTCTGTAATCGCAAACTTACTGTGCTCAAGAAGACTCTGATAGCTTAGTATGTTAGAAGATACTTTTTGCCGTGCTAAGCATGAATATCCTTTTGAGACGGGAAATGGGAGGGGGGGGGGATCTTTTGGGAACATATAAAGAAAGTCACAGCAGGGACGCAAGCTAGTTTGTTTTACGCAAGAGATAGGGGTATTATTGCATGGTAGTGTAAGAAAAGCATGCAAGGGTTTGCTAGTTCACTTCGCAATTTTTAGCTTCAAATTGAAGCATGTTTCTAATCGGTATCGTGGGAGTATCCTGTACTTAAGACGCTCATGAGTCAAGCAATGAATTTCAGGTACTCACATTCTTCACCATAACTACAATATGCTTCAACTGGGCGACGGTTGTCGACATGCTTATGGTTAGTTTGAGTAATCTTATACCCCCCCCCCTTTTTTTCATCGGGATTGGGAGCTGGAAGGCGGGGCTTTGTGACCTAATTAAGACCGCTGGCGCCCGCGACGCACTTCGCATTTTCCTCACTGACGTGCTCTCTGATCATTCTATAGCTTAATTGGGGCTCGAAGCCCCGCCTTCCAGCAACTAATCCCGTTGCATCAAAGGGTATTTTCTTTCTGGCCAAAACATAGAAGTATTATACTGCTCAAATGTGTTGAGTGATCAATGCTACTACCATACTCAAAGTTTACTTGCTATAGGCTCTAAAGCGCGCTGTTAGACGCACCAAATCTGCAGTGGGCTACGTCATCCACATCTTGAAAAGATCGCAAACTTTTTTGTTTTTCAACATTCACTTATGACTTCAATAAATCTGGAAAATTGACACACACAAAATTACAGGCAACTGGTCACCCAATGTACAGAACATGTAAGCGTGCTGATACGAACAAAACGTTTATATGCAGGATCAATCGTTTTCAGTTCATTTTACAACATCCTGAAGAGTGTCTTCATCAATCCATTACTTCCTGCACTTTGCTATAGAGACCCAAAACAATTGCAGACGAGAATGTCTGAGAAAAGTTTGGATGCTATCTCCCTTCAATGTTTTGCCCTCTCGGTCTGACTAAAACATCATACACCCACTAGCTCTTACAAATCTTCTCTTCTTGTCAAGTACCTATCGAACATGATAGTTTTCCGTATACCAGTCTTGATTCAATCTCAGACTGTGGTGCCGCCAGCACGACGTAGTGCAGCGAACTCATGGCAGATGTTGCTTTCGCATTTGCTCGGAGATGCATCAGGTCCCTACGTTATAGGAATAGTGAGTGAAGTACAATAATCTTTAAACATAATTGTGCAATGTATGTGTTTTCTCAGATCTCAGACGCTATTCGAGGGGATGACGATTCTCCTTATGGTCATTACGTCTCGTTGAGTAAAGCATTCTACCTTCCAAACGCGTTGCAGCTTATAAGTGCTGTAGTTTTCTTCGTTGCCGCATGTACATTTGTCAGAGACCACAACAGATTCAAAGAAGCCATGGGTAAGCTCGAAGAAATCTGTCATCGTATACACATATTTCATACTTTTCAGGGGTTCTGCATTGTACAGAAAAGTCGCTGCAGAACGGACCGTCCATTGAGAATGGTGAAGATAACCGAGGTTTTGCAACAACAGAAAAGGAGAAAGGAATGTAACCTTGACGTAATTGACAGCTGTTAATTGCAACATGTAAATATACTACAAGTCCTTTCAAATACCAAAGTTTACCGCCAATCTCTGGCCAAATCTTATCCAGGTGCATAAATAAATTGTATTTTGTTTTAAATCAGTGGTCAAAAACAAACCCATTCAATAAATATGTATAGGACGTGCAACAGTATCTAACATATGTAATATGAGCTAGGTACTCATTCCGAAAACTTACGTGCATGAAGTTAATTTCATTCGCTGAGCCAAACGTCAGCAAGTGACAGCTTTCCACGCAAAAAATTTATTCGTTGTTCTCGATATGTCCCGTGGATAATGTCGCACTACTTTTGGTCAAACAATGAAGTACATGTGAATTGGAATTGTTGACGAAACACAGCGTCAGATATATGGAGAATTGAAAGGACGACTCAACCAATTTATAAGTTAGAGCATTCGAATGAATTACTTCAACAAACAACATGTTTCACCCTTCAAAGTTTACGGTGAAAGAAATAAAACGCCTTGATGCGCACCGTAGTAATTCTCAGAACAAAACAATATATTAGTTTGTAACAGAATTAATGCAGGTTTTCCAAATTTTGAGTTTTGCAATAACATTCTACAGAAATAGTCAATCCACTTTCAAAAAAAAACTACTGCAATCGGCAGAGCAACTTGGTACGCACTACTCTTCTGTCGCAGCACTGAGAAAATTCCATAGCTCGAAGACTGCCAAGAGGTTTTTTTTTTGAAAACCTTCAGTTTGGGAGACCACAATTTACTACACAATGTAGTAGGCTAGTACAAAAGTCGGTTGTGCAGCAGCGTTGAGCTTGTGTTTTACGAAAAGAATCTTTGCTAGCAAATATTGCAAAAGATTTGTAATCACTCATTCTTTTCAATGGCTCTAAAAAGGCGAAAAAGTGCCTTTTTGCTGTTTATTGAATTTTCTCGCCGCCAAAGAGATTAACGGCTTCCTGTTTTTTTGCCATCAAATGTCCTATCTCTGTTCTTTCTGCATAAGACGAAAGCTCTGCAATTGCTTTGCGCTCGCGGTTTTTATACGCTGCAGAATGATGGCAGATGCTTGAATTTGAAATGAAACGCAGTCTGGAAACGTCAGTCTGGAAAATTTTATTCGATGTGCATTTGTAGCATGGACCACATACAAAAATACAGCCAATCTGCGAAAAAATTCCGATTTTTCGCGGTGGATTTAGAGCAATGAGTGTAAAAAGAGAAAGAAAATCTAGTCTCTTGAACGGTGTTTGGCGTGTAAGTGCTATCGGATTATGTTTTACATAATAAGAATCACACTGTATTTTAAATGATAAGAATCACGCTGTATAACATCAACAGAACACTGAACATTGTCTCATCAAACGCAAATTTTTTTTACCACTGAACAAACAAAAGCGCGACAGTGTCTTCATAAGTATATTTTCATTTCAAATCCGTTTGATAGCCATTGCAGATACGTGTTCAAACATACAAGTTCTCCTATATGTTGATTAGTGCTGTAAGTCTAAAAATGTTAATTTCGGAGCAATCATCCAATCGTTTCAGGCAATTGCGATTGTGATAGCTACCGCGGTAAGTCTAACGCTTAGCTGTGCTTATTACAATATCATTGAATATTGAAGGTGTCGTCACCAGTAGTTGGACAAGACGGTCCTGAACAGTGCCAGATATTTCGCACAAGGGAGGATGTTGAACTGAATAGAGAAATCCTAACAGCAGTCGAATCAACAATTTATGCGCGCAATTTGGTTAGTCATAAGATTTTCGGACCAAAATTTCCACGATTCGCGTAGTGCTATACATAAATAACGATTTCCTCACGACGAACGAACATGAAGAACGTAAGAAGGGATGCTTGACAGGTTTACACGCCTTACGATTTCCAGGAATTCTGTTGCTCTTGCGCCAGTGACAGATCAAGCGGTACTGGACATTGGATTAGTAGGTTTGTTGTGATTCTTTTTGATTGGTATGTGAACTCATTACTACCACTTTGCAGGAGAGTGGGAATGAGTTATGCTGAAGTAGATGACATCGTCGATCAGATAAGAAATGCATTGATTACGGTGAGGATTAAACATTTCTTAATTAAGCAGCAATTCAGTGATATTGTATAGGAACGCATTTGCAAGAAAGTTCTGCTCGAGTAAGATAGGAGAGGACGAATGCTTTCAAGAGGAGGCTAGGCAGAGATGGATCCCTGGGATTATGATATAACGGTGTAGAAACCCCCCCTCCCCTCCCCTCCCCTCCCCTCTCCCACCCCTCCAGCCCATCTTGAGTGTTTGATCGGGGAGCAAAGACAGTGAGTGGCTAGGCAGACCCTCAGAAAATTTTGTTCACTTGGGGTTATCCGATGAGCTTATACTTATCCACTTTAAAAAGCGCGAAAACGGTGGGCGGCAACATTTCTAGAGCCTTTCATTTGAATTTGGACAATTGGAACAGTTTCTGCCAAGGTTTGTAGACACAGCGACTCTTGTAAGAACATTGCGACTGCCGCCCTCAACGGTGGGAGGGAATTTCAAACCTGCCTAAAGAGTCCCCCCCCCCATTCCCACTAAAATGACTTGCGCACAGTTTATTCCTCAAAAACTTTAAAACTTCTATTCACCCTAGCATTCCAAAATCTTTTTTCTAGGCATTCAACAGACGCAAGAAGTTATTGTTCGCTTGCAAAAACAGAGACCGTCCTGTAACTGTCTGCCGAATATCGAGCTGCATTTCACAGAAAATTGCCTGTAACCTTAGAGAGATTTAGCTCTAGATGAGGTAATACACTTCGGGACATCTTCGTGAATTTATTGAAAGAAATGTTTGTGTTACCATACGATTATTTTCTTTGTGTGGTGGAAATAAAAATGGAGGGAAAATATGGTATGTGGAGTTGATGGTTGAACAAACATGATAATGATTGCTTCAAAATGCAAGTGTTACTTCATGAAATTGCGGCTCCACCTGATTGAGTGCACATGCCGATTGATGCTCGTGAGCTTGATTTTCGTGTAAAGGTATAGAAGCAGATCGCCTAAGCTGCCTATACCTCAGCTAAATGGCCAAAAATCCGAAATGCATAGAAATCCGAAGCGATTGGCAGCATTTCATGATTTCCTCTTTGTGACAAATAGAAGTTTGTGCGATAACGTCTTTATGAAAAGTTGAAAATACCGATCAAATCCGATATTCTTCTGTTTTCTCAAAAATCGCGACAACTTCCAAAAACCTTAGTCAGCAAAACTCTTGGCCTGTAGTGAGCTTCGGCTTTTTTGCAAATTCGAAAATTCTGGCGATACAAAGAGAGTATATAGGGCTTATCAAACTGAGTGTCGTTTGCATCGGCATCTCCATCTTCGCGCTGGACTCTGCGTTTCTTCCGCAGGGCTGCTCTCTAAGAATTTTCCCAGGGCGAGCGTGGGAAAGACGGAGCTTCGATTGGAAGTGATTAGGGAGCATGTACCGCAGAAGAGACGCAGAGCCCAGCGCTAAGATGGAGATGCTGGTGCAAACGACACTCAATTTGATAAGCCCTATAGCTTGAATGATTTTCGTGTTAAAGTTCAATTTTCGAATCTGTGGAGAAACGCTGAGATTCATCTGTACGTACATGATTTTTTCGTTAAGATAGCAATTTTGCACAAATAAGCGACAAAACCCTTTGTCTGGCTTTATCTCCTCTCAAAAACTGAGTTGATTCCCGAAAAATGTGTGAGAACTTTCGGAAGGCAGAGGGGCTGCGACTCTCGTGGTTAGGAACGCTACAGGCTACTGCATCTTCTTGAGTGCTGAGCAGCATTTAGTGCTCCATGTAACTCACAAGGGAAGTCACTTAACTTAGGTCGGGCTTTTGAAATGAGACACATACATTTAGAATCAGCTCGTAACGCTGATTCCAAATATGCTATCCTTAGCTGCGAAGCTTCTCTGAAGCGAATTATGAGCTTCTTTAGTATGTGCCATTGACATACAGCTGAATATGGAAAGAAGGTCTTTGGATGAAAATCTCCCCAAAAAGTGGGGGAAAATTAAAATAACATCAAATTGAGTCATTTGGCTTTGATAGGGTTGCCGTAGCATGCCTAAGTCGGTCAACACGCAAAATTTGCTCAGGAAAAAGCTCATAACTAGCTTTAGAGGAATGCTTCGCAGCTAGAGAAAGCAGATTTGAAATCAGCGTTTCAAGCTGATTTCAACCATATGTGTCTCACTTCAAAAGCTCGACCTAAGTAAAGTGACTTCCCTTGTCAGATTCGTCGGCACAAGCGAAAGGAAAATCAGATATTATTTTAGCAGGTTCTGATATGGTATAGCTTTTCTTCTTCATGAAAACATTGTGACTGTACTCTGCGGTTCTAAAATTGGTATTGTTTCGAAGTGCACTGTTGCGTATTCAGTGTTGCTGCTGTGTTTGGACATCTGCAACACCATAATTGATAGAGTGATTTATAGAAAGAAGTTTTTTACAGTAAGGTCTTGATAAAATTGTTTTCCAACGAATGGGATATGCTTCACAAACATTCGCGGGAGCTCCTCGAGGACAAGCTAATTTGCCACGCTGTGCAAGAGCTTGTGTACATACTGACCTGGTAAGTGGAGGCGGAGCTGGGGACTCCCTGAAAAATAATGGCATTAAGAGCAACACAGTCGAGATCTTTCCGAAGAAATCCTTGGGAAGTGCTGCGAAATGAAGTGGTTCTAGTTAAACATGAGTAAACAACTTCCCAAAGTTATCGTGATATTTCGTGGTACTACTACGTTTTCTCTTCGTTGACTAACATATGTGATATAGATACTGAATTTCATCTTAGGCTTTGGCCATACTTTGTCCGTGTTGCCGATGTTACCAGTGTTACCGGTGTTGCCGATGTTTCCAGTGTTACTCGTGTTTCTAGTGTTACCGCCTTTATTGCTGTTGATTCTTGAAATGATTGCCAGACAGTTTCATTCTTGAACGTAGTCTCACTGAGTGGTGAGTATACAGGACCTGAGGCGATCATACTTCAATAATAATACCATGCTAGAAACTTGCTTCAAAAAAGTTCTTTTTTCTTTCAGTTTTTTTAGTTTCACTTTCTAAAGTTTTTCTTTAAAGAAGGGAATGTGCTCCCTTCTCACATATGGCCGATGGCAAATGGTGACACGTCCGAGGACAAGGTTTCTTGAAGTTCGGTCAGTATATCGTTAGAGCTCATTGTGCTACAAATCAAACATTATGATTATATTTGTGTCACAAAGACTAAATAAGCAAGTTTCTAGCACGGTATTATTATTGAAGTATGATCGCCTCATGTCCTCTGTACTAACCACTCAGTGAGACTACGTTCAAGAATGAAACTGTACTGGCGATCATTTCAAGAATCAACAGCAACAAAGGAGGTAACACCAGAAACACAAGTAACACGAGTAACACTGGAAACATCGGCAACACGAGTAACACGAGTAACACTGGTAACGTCGGCAACACTGGCAAAGTATGGCCAAAGCCTTACATATGTAACAGTCACTTTGATATCTAGTTTATCGCAAATGGGGTATGCACTTGTTGGGCTGGTTCTTGCTTCCATCATCTATGTACATGATTCCTATTGTCCTACCCTACAGCATCTGCTCATATAATTTATAAACAACGCCTATCTGTACCTGTGCACGTCCAGATTCTATGGCAACTGAAATAGCGTTACGGAAGAAAATGTCTGTTGGGACGATATCTTTATGAAATTTTTCAATAAGGTAAAACTATGAACTGGAGTTTGCAGGGACGCTTTCAAAAATGCTGATTTGGTTTGCACAAGAATGAAAGCTTGCTTCAAATGCTGCAAAATTAACTTTTGATCCAACTGGCTTGGCTCCTCTAAGGCGGGGCTTTGTGACTCAATTAAGGCCGCTCGCACCCGCGACAAGTTTGGTCTATCTCGCGCGCGTGCTCTCTGACCATTATCTAGCCTCAACTAGGTCACGAAGCGCCGCCTTCCAGTAGCCAAACCAGTTGAATCAAAAGGTAGAACAGCGATAAGTGAGCAGGCTCAATTACATCGCTTTGTACACTATGATTGATGTACTGCTCTATAGTAAGTTCTCATTCATGTTTTTTGATCGCAAGCTGTTCCGCCGCTGCGTATTAGGATCTAAGACTCTCTTTCTAACACACTCAATGATTGGCCATTCCCATAACAATTCGTGTCAGTTCTATTCCTACCCCGCCACACAAAACTTTCACAATACTTGCTAAACAAACAACTCTCCCTTCACATTCGCATGTGTAAAAGAAAGGTACTGGTGATCACGTGGTTGTCTTTTTCCTGATTTCTAATTTCAAAAATTGTTTATGAAGGTACAGTAAGTTTCGACCCGCTTTAGGCGGAAATTGGACTGGCGGGAGTCCGCCTCGCAACAGCTCGCGCCGTTTCGCACCTGCAGTATATCATATCGTGCTGAGAACCCATGTCTGCGTCTTTTCAATCTCCTTAGTCTTTGCTTGGCAAAATGTCAGCGCTATGCATCCGCAAAGCCTCCAGCGATGCGCATGCGCTGCTCCACGTAGAATGTCTTGCCTAATCCGGGATGAAACCGACTGTATGTGTTAGCTCCTCTTTCAAGAAGCTTATAAGCCCAAAGGAATTGTACCGAATTTTATTTGATTATTACAGTCATGCATAAAGTTGACTACTGTTGATTGGCTCACACCAAATATACTTGTAATCCTCGTAAATCATAACTGATCTCTGTAGATAAGGACGATCTGGTCATCTGACCGAGGCTCGCATGCTTTGCCCCATTCGTCTAATCCTTACCCTCTATGTTGGAGTTTCGTAGCTAGAAGAAGAGATAGAGACACAGATACAGAGATAGACCCGGAAGTAGTCTCTGGGGTGAGTATAGTCCATTTAGTCCATTACCTCATTGCCAGGGTCAAGCAAGAGGTGTGGCACACGATTGCTAGTTACGACTCCCCTCCCCCCGCCTCTCTTATTGCTCTCTCATAAGAACCCCTGTACTATATACCTAATATAGCACTACTTGTAGGCCCTGTCAAACATAAGGGCAACATATCCATAATTAGCATGTCAATTAACCCCTATAGACAATGTTTAAGCGTTCTGAAGTTTCAAGATACTGGGTCACCTAAGTGAAATCGCCATTTTCCTGCATGATTAACTTTGTTTCAAAGGTGAAGTAGCGAGCGGTTTTTGCTCAAGACAAAGCAGAACTCCTTCTTTTTCCACTTCAAAAATCTCGCTTCATAAGACCTCCTAAATTTGGAATTAGAAGCCAACCAAAATCTTGTTTTTCCTATTTTCCCTTTTAATAGCTGTGCTTTCACCAAATATTACTCAGAGCCAAGAAGACGAACCAGGCTCAAATCACTCCTCCTACGAGGTTTGGGCTATCGATTCATATAAATAGCGTCGCTAAAAATGTTTTTTTTTGATATGGTTAATGGGGTGTGGCAATCCCTAAAAGACTGTGGCTGCCACAGCTTTTTAGGGGGAAGGCCACACCCCATTAACTTACCTTCAAACAGATCAAATAGCTGCGTTTTTTCATATGGTTGTTACTGCTCAAACTTCTTCTTTACATAGCAGAAATTTCATGTGAAAACGTTTCTTTAAGTGCAAGATATAATCGTTTTTCTCGTTTTTCCTTACCTATGCAAATGTAAAATACTGGTAAAATACTGCGAACATAATGGGGTCCGGTAACGTGCTAATTGCGTGAATCGCAACGGAAGGCGACAAAAATGTATATGTTCGACAGCCTAAGCCTCATAATCTACATCAAAGTGATTTGAGCCT